TGTGATCTAGGGGATTGCATATCCATGAGGGTTCACGAGAGTTCTTAGATCCAATTAGTTAGTTCTTTCCATGCACATTTTATGTTTTACTGTGATTATTTGTCAGCATATCCATGCTGTATCGTACTCATGTTTGGTAAGAAGCTGAACTTTTATTAAAAAAAAAAAAAATCAAAGAATACAATGGCGAAAGAAATGAAAAGCCAAAAAAAGAAAAAAAGAAAAAAAGAAAAATGGAAAATAAGTCTGATACTCACTACATAAAGGACTTCAGTTCAAATGAGCAAGATCAATGTTCTAATTACAAAATGGTCTAGTGATTGACACCCACAAAAGAAGAATTAGACCCCTCCAACTCCCGAACTTCCTCCCTGTATTGTGCTCATGTCAATCTGTCTGCGCTGCAATTTTAAAGCTGTGACCACTGTTTTACATTTGGAATTCTGTATGATGGCTTACATAATAGTTTGTGCGCTGTGGTTACATTACAAGAGCAGTTTATTTCAGAGTAAACTTTAAAGCGACTATTAAATTTGCAGGTTTATTTTTAAAGTTTTGTTTCTATATGCAGGTTTCTTGTTAAAGAGAAGTGCAAAAACTAATGGTTGGAGCAGGCGATGGTTTGTTTTGAATGAGAAGACTGGAAAGGTATGTAAAATTTTGTGAACTTTTACTGTAATGGTCAGTAGAAATGGGTGGTTCCTGTGAATGTTTACCATTTGTTCTTTTCATATATTTTTCAGCACTGCCATTTAATGTAAATTCTACAGGTTTTAGCACTGGACATCATATCAGTATTAATGCTTTATTATTACTGTGTAAATGAAGATATGATTTTAGAATGTAGGAACCTACAGTGTTGTAACACAAACAGCTGATGTGTTCAAGGTAGTTGGAGCTTATACTTGAAGCCAAAATAAGTGTTTTATTGTGTGTATCTTGAAGAAGAGTCTTTGCATGCATTAATATGCTCCTTGGAGTAAAATTTACTCTCTCCATTCAAGTTCGGTTAGGGACTGCATGTATGCTTCTACCAGATTGTGCTTCTTGTTTTCAAGTGGAAAACTTGTTTCATTTGTTCTTCAATGTGCTCTTTCATCATGTTGTTCTTTATATATTAGTTTGCGATATTAAAGAGGAAAATCTGAGTAGTTTATATGCATGGTTCTGGTGATTTTATAAGTTCATGTGTTGGCAATCTTCTACCATTACATAACAACTGATAATATTGCAGTAGCTTCTCTGTTCTTTGAGCACATGATGTATATTTGAATATCACATCTGAATTTTGGGTAAATAAGTTAACTTATGAGTTTCTGCCATGCCATCTTTTCGTGTTGACCCGGAGAGATGACATATGTTTATTATCTTTATTTACTAATATTATGCCCGCATTGTGCAGCTTGGATACACCAAGAAGCAAGAAGAGAGAGACTTTCGTGGTGTCATTCCTTTAGAGGTATGCAGAACATAATGAACCACTGCTCCCCTCGTAAACAGGCACACCCACATAAACAATGCCATCTCGTTCCTCGATTTTAAGTATCCCGAATAATTATTTGCTTTTTTCTTTTTCTTCTATTAAATCTTGTCATATGTAATGGAATCATCTAGAAGTTTAACAATGATTTTGTCATGTATTACTGTTGGTTATCTGAATGGCCACATTGACTGCCAAAAATGTTTACAGGATTGTAATATAGAAGAAGTTACAGATGAGGAACAGCCTCCACCTTCAAAGAGTTCAAAGGATAAGAAGGCAAATGGGCCAGATTCTGGAAAGGGACCAAGTCTTGCGTTTAAGATTACCAGCAAAGTTCCATATAAAACTGTTTTAAAAGGTAAATTTACTAAGGTTCTTTTATGTTTATTGCAAGTGTCGTAATATTCTGTTTATAAATGTTACAAATCTGTAAATTCTATGTTGAAAACCTGTTTGCTGGTTCAATTGTGCTTTGTTCTTCAGCCCATAGTGCTGTTGTTTTGAAAGCCGAGAGCGTCGCCGACAAGGTGGAATGGACAAACAAGATACGCCGTGTCATTCAACCGTCCCGAGGAGGGCAAACGAAAGGTGCATCCTCTGGAGGTGGTCTTACCTTGCGGCAAAGTCTATCTGATGGCTCTCTAGTATGTCATCGAACTCTGCTTTATTATTACCTAGCTTTACTCTGATTTTGTCTAATTTTCTTGTGAGAAGACGTCTAAAATAGCACTTGTCATGCACTTTAATTTTCTTTTACTTCTTACTCTTGACTATAGTTTGGAATTAACATTATAGAGTTTATCCACTTTTTCTTTAGGACACAATGACTCGAAAACCTGCTGATCCTGAAGAAGAGCTGCGGTGGATGTCTCAAGAAGTTCGTGGTTACGTTGAAGCAGTTTTAAATAGTTTGGCTGCAAATGTCCCCAAGGTAATTTATGTTGAAATTGTTAGGAATCACGGTTCTCCACAATGGTATGATATTGTCCACTTTGAGCATAAGCTTTCGTGGCTTTGCTTTGGGCCTCCCAAAAGGCCTCATACCAATGGACATGTATTTTTCTATAGAGCCTCTCCCGAAGCCTATGGAGCCCTCGAACAGGCTCCCCTTAATCGAGGCTCGACTCCTTTCTCTGGAGCCCTCGAACAAAGTACACCCTTTGTTCGACACTTTTGACTACACCTTCGAGGCTCACAACTTCTTTGTTTGACATTTGAGTATTCTATTGACATGTTTAAGTTAAGGGCATGGATCTGATGCCATGTTAGGAATCTCGACTCTCCACAATGGTATGATATTGCCCACTTTGAGCATAAGCTCTCATGACTTCGCTTTGGGCTTCCCCAAAAGGCCTTGTACCTATGGAGATGTATTCCTTATTTATAAATCCATGATCATACCCTAAATTAGCGAATATGGGACTCCCTCCCAACCATCTTGGATAGAAACTTATGTTCAAATGATTATCCCATGTAGTTCATGTCTTTGTCTTCAACATAGAGTTGTTGAATTTGCAGGCTGTTGTACTTTGTCAAGTTGAGAAGGCCAAGGAAGACATGCTAAACCAATTATATAGCTCGATCAGGTAGAGTTTGGGTTTAATGTTGGTATAGACTTGATTTGTTGTTAGATCTATATTCTTACATATTATCTATTTTAATTCTACTTTTTAACTCTTGAATATTTTCATTTTAACGTTGATCGAAAGATCGTTAGATCGAAATCCATCTTATTGTATGCTCATGATGAACAGTGGCCAAAGCTCAGCCAGGATTGAGGAGCTTCTTCTGGAGGACCCGAACGTAAAACGGAGGAGAGAACGTTATCAAAAACAATCCTCTCTCCTTTCGAAACTTACGCGCCAGCTCAGCATCCACGATAATAGTGCAGCTGCTGCTGGTTGGTCCGACAATGATGCAGCAGGTAATCTTAGCCACTAGTTGCAGCAAATATGTTACGTTACTGATCTGCTTGATTTCTGTAAAATGAAACTGAAGTAGAAACATGGCATCATTTTATTTTTCGCGATTATACAACTTAACCTGTGAACCTGCGACGAATCTTTGCAGAAAGTAGTCCCCGAACTAGCGGAACGCCTGGAGATGACTGGAGATCTGCATTTGATGCAGCTGCTAATGGCCGGGTCGACTCCAGAAGATCTTCTTCCAACGGCCGCAGTAGGTATTCTAACGATCCCGCACAAAACGGTGACATAAACTCAGGTTCGAACTCGAGCAGTCGTCGTACTCCAAACCGTCTGCCACCAGCACCTCCACAGTCATCTTCTGGTTCGAAATACTTCTAGCATCACAACAGAACTTGATGATTCAGATTCTCAGCAACATCGGGTCATATTTAGTGATCTCCTCAAGTTTATATTCCTTAGAAACTTCAAAGTGGAGAGAGGTTTGTGTATATATACAACATTTCTCAGTCTCAGGTTATACTCTGATTTCTTCATAAATACAAGACTAGATTCAAGTTTTTGTTCTACCATTATTCATTTTTGGACAAGAAAAATGTATTTGAATGCATTAGTTATGCTTTTGTTTGTACTATCATATCCATTTCTAATGGGTTATAATATAATATTCAGTTATTTCTTAGTGTAAAGTGAATCTTGAATAGAATTTGTGAGGGTGGATTTGCAAAGCTACTAGAAATAAAGTTAATTTAACGAAGGATTGCAACCAATGAGCGGGATCGAAATATAAGAACTTTTTGGATTGTAATGGCTCGGTAACAGACTGCATCTTTTTCGTTATGCTCGCAACAATTCAATTTTGGTGTTCATATATATGTGTGATTGAATTATTTACTAGTAATCGTAATGTCTATTCTGATCTTGCCTCGAATGGTGCGCTAATCTTTTGAATCTGGTACGAGAACAACGTTCTTTTTCAAACCTTTCAACTAGGAGAGCGGCCTTAACTAAAACTCGAGTAATTTCTTTCAAACGTGCTTGAGATAAGCAAAATGAGTATTTAGAGATGCTTTCTTAGATCCAACTCATTCCAAAATTAGTTTAATATTAGAGATCCTAAGATAATTCAATCTAGAATTAGCTTGTATAAACTTATATAATGAATTGGTAAAAGACTAATCCTTATATAGACTAATCTAATGAATTGGTAAAAGACTAATCCTTATATAGACTAATCTAATGAATTGGTAAAAGACTAATTCTCAAACTTTATTATATGCCTTTAAATAGTTCAGCACAATCAAACATTTTTCTAAGGCATTACAGCACTAAGATTTCCAAGGTCTAGCCAAAGTTTAGTTCAGGATTCTACTACTCGTCTAATTTGGTTTAGTATTGCTACTGCGCATGACTTCGAAAGTCATGATGATATTACTGAAGAACGTCTATCAGAATATTTTTGCTTCACATTTCGGGCAATCAGCAATATTTTTTCTATGGACTTCCGAAAATCTCTTTCTTGTAGCTTGACAAGGTAATTTTGAAGCATGGGTACAAGACCCTTTACATGTCAACCAACCTTCGAAGTGGGTTCTTGGCCCAGTAAATGACTTCGAATTAAAAACTATTAAATGAAAATTGAAGAAAAGAATACTTATGACATAAATAGTCTTAAATAGTAGTTCGACTATTTATTACCTCTATTCTCGACTTGATATACTATTATTATTAAAAAATTTGGACTAAAAAATCTTTATCTCTTCTCGTACATTGACTAGTAATTAAAGACCTTTTGAATCTTCTGTGTCTTACTTCTTATAATTGGTCTTTCAGTCCGTGTGATGGATCAGGGTTGGATTCATATCGATCTTACTTAATCCTGAATGTGTACGTTCAGCCTTCTGAGCCAGATCGAGTGAAGTATCATATGGAAAGCATCATATCTCTTGGGAGTTCCATTGATCACAAAGTGTCTCTGAACTTGCTTCACTCTCCTTTGCATTCTCAAGTACTGAGATTGAGATATCCCTCTTAGTATCTCTTTTATGTTTCCTATATCCTTCACTTCTATTTGCACACCAAATGAATTCCAATTCAAAACATCACTGAAAGGAGGAACATAGCTTTCTGATATCAACACAGGTACACATTCAGCATATATAGCTTCCACAACTCTTGGACTCGCTACTTCATACCCGCTCGGGCATAAACAAAACCGACTCTTCTTCAACATCGACTCGTATGATACTCCGCTTGGAAGCTCGTCGTAAACAACCACGTCATTGTCTTTTTCCTTCCACTTTTGCAGTAGTAGGTACCTTATGTGGCCGTGTAAACGACCTGCAAAGAATGCAAGAATAGGTCGACGAGATGGCGAGAGTCCCCCGAGAAGTCCATCGATTTCTCCCGTTCGAAGATGGATTTCTGGGAACGATGCGTCTTTAGAGGGATGGAAACCTTCTGAAACATTTGCATTACACAATACCCTGATGGAGTTGTTGAATAAATACGGAACATACGAGGTGGTTCGTGGCCCCTGCGACGAAGATAAAATGCTTAGCTCGAAGTCAATGGCTAATTTAGAGGATGATCATGGGTTTATAAGTAATAAATACATCTTCATTGGTATGAGACATTTTGGGGAAGCTCAAAGCAAAGCCATCAGAGTTTATGCTTAAAGTGAACAATATCATACCATTGTGGAGAGTCGTTATTCCTAATATGGTATCAGAGACATGCACTTGACTTACCTATGTCAATAAGATCCTCAAATATCAAATAAAGAAGTTGTGAGCCTCGAAGGTGTAGTCAAAAGTGACTCAAGTATCGAACAAGGGGTGTACTTTGTTCGAGAGCTCCAGAGAAAGGAGTCGAGCCTCAATTAAGGGGAGGTTTTTCAAGGGCTACATAGACCTCACGGGAGGCTCTATGTGTACTTTGTTCGAGGGAAGGATTGTTGAGAATACATCTCCGTTGATATGAGGCCTTTTAGGAAGCCCAAAGCAAAGCCATGAGAGCTTATGTTAAAAGTGAACAATATCATACCATTGTGAAGAGTAGTTATTTCTAACATGGTATCAGAGCCATGCCCTTAACTTGGCTATGTCAATAGAATCCTCAAATGTCGAACAAAGAAGTTGTGAGCCTCAAAGGTGTAGTAAAAAATGACTCAAGTGTCGAACAAAGGGTGTACTTTGTTCGAGAGCTCCAAAGAAAGGAATGGGTCTCGATTAAGGGGGAGGCTATTCAAGGGCTACATAGACCTCAGGGGAGACTTTATGATGTACTTTGTTCGAGGGGAGAGCTTATACTCAAAGTAGACAATATCGTACCATTATAAGAGTCGCTATTCCTAACATTTCAAAGCTGCTTACCCAATCATGACACGAAAGCATGAAATGGTCAGCACCAAGGCTACGATTCCAAAACAAATGCTTGTTCGAGATGACATTGATATAGTCTTGGACTGCAACGCCAATGGCATTAACATCATGAGAGTTTGGTTCATAGAGATATTGAACCAAATTGACAACGCTGAAAGGGAGGAAATAGAGAAGGGCTTGATCAGGGTCATTGGTTGTGTATGAGTTTCCCTTCTCCATTTCATGAATGAACCTTCCTTCGGTGGAGTATATGCTCTTGCATGGACCTTCATGGAACATTGGTGGCTCTCCTTCCTTGTATATGTATATCTTTAAAAGCCTCTCCATTTCTAGGTAGCTCCTGCACACGAACCCGAACCCAATGAAGTTATATGTTCTAGTTCGGGTTTGAATTTAGTTTCAATTTTGTCTCTAGTTATATGTTCTAGTTCGGGTTTCAATTTAGTTTCTCTACCACCAATGAAAATTAACAAAGATTTAATGTAAACGTTAGTCATGGTTACAATGAGAGACCTTGGCCTTGAGTAGAGGTAAGATCGAGCTGAGTGACTTGGCCTAACAAGTCGGTTGTATCGTAGACGATTGAAAATGCACGCGCAGACAGCGTGTGTGGTCGAACAAGCTTGGATTTCGCACCAGCGATATTCGGTTGGCAAATACAAACCTCGCGTAAGGTCCGATGAAGCCACAAAACCAGGGTGAAAAATATATATGGGACTTGATTCCCCTTAAGGTTGGTCGCGAGTGTGTCAAGATCACGACGCCACATGGTTGAAAAAGTAGGACCGAGACACATAAGGTTAAAATTGTCGTTTAAACTAACTATAAAATCCAAATTGAAACCGAAATTGAGACACATAAGGTTAAAATTGTCATTTAAACTAAACTATAAAATCCAAATTGAAACCGAAAATGAGACACATAAGGTTAAAATTAATTGCATTTAAACTAAACTATAGAATCCAAATTGAAACCGAAATCGAGACACATAAGGTTAAAATTATCCCTTAAACTAGACTATAGAATCCAAATTGAAATTGAAATCGAGACACATAAGGTTAAAATGGTCATTTAAACTCGTACCTGTGGAAAGCATTTGGGTTTCTATATATTGGACCTCTAGGAACATAGTCAGGATCATCATGTACAGACGTAAGGTTACGAACTCGACCCGCTTCTCTTATGGCTGCTCTTGCTCTTCCCAACTTCTCCTCTATTTTCTCCAACATACTGTATTTCTCAACTCTACTGATCCCCGGAGTTGCATCTTTTCCCTTACGTTCTTTACTTTCAGGTACCGTTGTTTGTGATCCTTCCTGATGATCATGATCGAAGTCAACGAGGTTACAAAAGGTACGAACGAGTTATATTTGCGACGATAAATTTTATACTTACAATGGGAGAGGAAAAAGAGTGTCCCTTGAGGTCCAAAGCAGCTGGGTCAAGCAAGTGAGGAGCAAAACTTGAGAAGACCTTATCCAAGCCAGTCGTCCAAGGAATCTCCAAATCAAGCTTACAAACTAGAGAAACAAGTACAAGAGAAGGAAGAAAAATTAACACAAACAAAAATGGGTTAAAAGATGTGAAGAAGAATGGCTTCTTAGAATGCTCCATTTCTCCTTCTCCATGCCTTTGATCTGCCATAACCATCATCATAAGTGATACTATGCTTGTGAGTGTGTGCTAATAACTATAATGTTCTACAGCTCATAAAACACAAGATTCATTGCTTCTTTGTGAGTCAATTCCTTGCTGAAAATGAGGGAGATTCTCAATTCTTGTTATGAATGTTGTTTGCATATTGCTCGTTCTTCCATTACAGCTATATTAAACATAATAATCATCTCCTGTCTAGTAGTGTACATGCTCGTATTATCGTGAATGAATAGGGATATCCCCCAATGCATAAACACATAATACAACTCTGCTAGCATCTTCTTCATATCATAACATTGTTCACATCAATTCTTAGAATATTTATCATATTTGTGATGTCCCACGTTGGTTGGGGGAGGAAAACAAAACACCATTTATAAGGGTGTGTAAACCTTCTCCTAGCATATGTGTTTTAAGGTCTTGAGGGAAAGCCCTAAAGGAAAAGCCTAAAGAAGACACTATCTGATAGCGGTGGGCTTGGGCCGTTACAATATCTTTCATACTAGTTGTCGTTTTGCCTGTCAATAATATCATATCATTCATGTAACATATAAGTGATATCATAACGTTTTCATGCTTTCAGACATAATAATCCATACCATGCACATATCATATCGTATATCATAAGAGTCACATACTAGTTGTCGTTTTGCCTGTCAATAATATCATATCATTCATGTAACATATAAGTCATATCATAACGTTTTCATGGTTTCAGACATAACAATCCATACCATGCACATATCATATCGTATATCATAAGAGTCACATAATATATCCTGAACATGCCTTCAACAAATCATATCGCTCCCACCCTATTGTCCCAACCCTTTTTAAAAGTACCTCAAGTTCATCTGAATCAGAAGGGCCTTTAATTAAAGCTGAAAAATTGAAGGAAGATGGATGAAAAAAGGGGGCAATCCATGATTATAGCGACTGTATGAAAAGAATAATACAACAGCTCAAAAGTAATAGATACCAGGAAGGGCTTATACAACAAAATTTCCTGGAACTATTTGTTCTCTCACGTACTCTGACAACAATATGCAAAAATAATCTTAAAATAGCAAACCATGAAAAAATGATGCACACAACAAAAACAACTATTCCTTTGTTTTCCAGAAAAGTTTGATTCTTCTGGACCCTTTCAATCTCAGATCTGCAAAACAAAACAGAAGCTTTCAGCATCTTCCACCACTACAAGAAGATTTCAACAAACAGAAATTTGCACAGTTTTTGAAGGTAACAAAGATTCCCAAGTCTTTTTTTTTCCCCAAAGGAAATGTTAGGTAAGAATGATGAGGAAATGAGAACATTTGCCAGGAATTTGATTGGATACGATACATGAAAAATAGTTTGAAGAAAGTAGGAAGGAAAGTAATAAACAAAGAAAAACAATTGTCATTATAAGGAAATATCTTTGTTGTATTTGAAAAAACAATAGTTATGCTCTCTCTCTCTCTGGGCACGAGCAGGAACATCAAAATGAAAGACCGAAGACATGTACATGACACAGAACGAAATATTCAAAAATACGTGAGATGATTTGATAGGTTGTCTGCAAAAAGAGTTTACCGACCGCATAATAATTCATTCTTGTGTGTAGCGTGTGGGACCATGTCGCCCAAACGATCATAGTACGACCGCTCATCAAATATCAAAGTAATATTTAGATCTCACTTTCCTTCCCCGTGATCAATAGCATTTTCAGAAGTGTTTTTAAAATTAAAAAAAAATGAAAAAAGAAGGGGGAAAAAGTTTTCAAAACAAAAGAAAAGGTAAAAAAAAAAACAATTTCCACAAGTAAATATCATAGCTATGAGTAACGAAAACTTCATGAATAGCTACACATTCTTTGATTAAAAATACTTCCCATAACTCCTTTCAAAATATGGTTTAGGCAGCCACTACAACACTCAAACTACAGCATAAAAGGACTATTTTGATAAAAATAGAACATAGGAACAGTTATAAGATGTGTGTGTGTGGGGTGGGGGGGAGGAGTGTCAAAAACCTGAGAATAGCATTATGCCTTTGCAGACCATCCAACTGCAAGGAAACAGTGGACTTCCAAGAAATGAGATCATGAAGATCTTTATCCTGCAATGACAACAAACCAATGTTAATTGGCATTGTTATTAGTAGAAGATGGATTGAAAGGAGAAGCGTATGACATACTGTGCTATCCTGGACTTTAAGAATATTTCTTATATCCTCGCGAGTCTTCTCAATAAGTAGACCATTATTTCCTATATCTTTGTCGAACTCTTTGAATATATTGCCATATTTGGAAGTTGAGTCCTCGAGATACCGCTCCAAAACAGATAGACTTCGGTCTAATGAACGAACTTTCTGTGTCAAAATTTTGAGAACAGTGTCACCAGGCATTCTGCCAGGTTGTTGATGGTGTGATTCTTCGACCGGATCAGGTATATTACTCTTTGAAAGTTCTAAAACGACATCATCATCATCACTTTCCTCATTAGCAAGAGATTGCGACTCTCTACGATGTTGTTGTCCTACATCATTGGGTCCAGGCTGGGACGGAGTTACTCGCTTATCGATAGTAGCTTCATCTGATATAGAGGGTTTATGTTGAGCAGATATCAAATCCTCTAGCATCATTTCAACAGCATCCATTCCGTAAACTTCAACAGTGCTGAGTGTGCAATAGAATTCTGAACCATAGTGGGTAAGAAGATTCAACTTTAAGTACCTCACCCATTTTGGATCCTTGAGAACAAATCTATGTGCATGTTTTGCATTTGGAGCAGTGAAATTCCCAAGCTTGAACCAAACATCTGTTGGATAAACCAAACTGCCATGTAGCTCGAATTCTTTCAAGTTAGAAGAATGGTGCTCAAAATTAGCGATTTCGATTGTTACTACTAAGGTTTCATCTGAAAGTTCTATGACAACAAATTTCTCTTCAGCAGAACATGGATTTCTGAGGTACTTATCTTTGTCCTTGCCTAAGATGTTAGAAGCTCCTTTTGCTTCCTTGTTGAAAGCCAACACCTTTGCTCCCTTTGAAGCTGAAGCGTAATTGTACTCTGCACCACCAGGTTCTACTCTATGGATAGTATTCCCAGCCTGACCAGTTTCATCCTTAGTCCGAGATGTAAAGACTCTGCTTTTGAATTCTTCAAGGCCCAGTAGAACAGTGTCAGACGACATATCTACCTTGAGAGGTTTACTTTCAGATTTTACTCCGGTGCTCGAGCTCTCAGCCTCAGGCAACCCCGTAACAGCTAGTACATGACTGCTACTTTCTTCACTTGAAAGCATTTCATTGTCAGAAGCCTGGCTTGTAGCATCAATTGAGCACGAATCGTTTAAACGACTGGTACAATCAGTTTCTCCTTTTGAAGGTTCGTATAAAACGTCATGGCTTGTAGCATCAATTGAGCACGAATCATTTAAATGACTGGTACAATCGGTTTCTCCTTTTGAAGGTTCATATAAAACGTCAGAGTCCTTGTTACTTTCCAATGTAGATTCATTTGAATTAGATGCACCATCAGGAAGTAAAACTGATCCTTCTGAAACACAAAGAAAAGAAGGCATAGATAATCAACCAGTAATACTATTCTGGTGAATAAATCATGAATTGGTGATTATTAGTGTAGAAAATCCATATTTAACATTTAATTGAGCCATTTGGTGATGAATAACAAAGCCAAATCAGTTCAACAGTTCCAAACTAACTTAAACAAGTGCTTACTCCATTAAAGTTTCCACTAAGAATCGTCTCTGTAATATAATTTCAGGAAACAAAGTACTTTGCAGGGGGTTACTCAATTATATCCTTTGAGCTGTAAGGTTACTAAGCTTACACTATGATATCCACATAGACATACTGGTCATTGTATCATTATGCTCAAATTTCATTAGAGAAGGACTTTTATTATTTCTGTAAACAAAGAACGATCAAAACAATCAATTATATGATTATATTTCCCACTGATTTTACCCTAAAGTACGAAAACACAAACTGTATTGTCTTCTTTTTATATGAATGTAAGAATATAGAGCATCATATTCAAAATGGGAATATTAAATAAATCAAAATCTTCAACTTGTCAGCGTCAAGAAAATTCACAACCTGGTAAACTGAAACAAACACCAGAATTTAGTTTGCAATATAAGGGGTGTGAGATCCCATGTCGGTTGGAGAGGGGAACGAAACATTCTTTATAAGTGTGTGAAAAACCTCTCCAAACGCATTTTAAAACCTTGAAGGGACGCCCAGAAGGGAAAGCCCAAAGGACAACTATTTGCCAAACGTATTTTAAAACCTTGAGGAGAAGCCCGGAAGAGAAAGCCGAAAGGACAAATATTTGCCAACGCGTTGGAAAATAAAAGAAAGGATAATAGAACGTCATAGTTACTCAAAACTTTTTGAAGAATCCAATTATATGTTGGAAACAAGGAAGCAGCCAACTGATAAAAACCAATTGAAAACAGCTCAGTCAGGATCAGAAACCAAAAGAGAGTGGTGTAATGGGGGAGTGTAATCAGTTTGAATTCAAAGAAATCTTTACTAAGGAAATCAAATGATTTGATCAAACCGTACCTTGACAGCCATCCCCACGGATGAACCATAAGCTAAAGAGGAAGACAAGTCCCCACAGAACAAAAACCAAAGACAGAGAAACTTTGTTCAAATGATTCCGTCCACTAATAGACACTTCAACAGCTCTTCTATCACGAAGAAGAGCTCCAACACGCCTCCGCATTGCACATCAATTCAAATCACTGATTGCTCAAGAACTACAAAATGATGCCTAACTGCATAAGGAAAAGAGGGAACAAATCCACGTTAAGATCAAACTCCAAACACCAAAACAAAAACAAGAACGAGCAATTTTCGGTTTCGATACGAATCAGAGTCCTAAATTCACATCTAGAGAATAGTAAAAGCAAACAAAGGAGCAGATCCCACTGAAAAACCCACGATCGAAGCTCCAATCAATCACCCAATACCAGATCCATTTCAAACTAATGAAAAAATCAATACAGAAAACCCCAGAATTCAAATCACAGGCATCTATCTAGAAACAGAGAACATCTATGACAAACCTAGTTTCAAAATCAATTAACTACCAGAGAATTTTCCAGATAGGAAGGGAAGAAGCAGATTGAGATTCCAAAGAAATTAAAAATTGAGATTAATTGGAAGAAATAAGGGAAAAGCAACAAGCAGGGAAAGTCCAATGAAACGCCAAAGATTAAAGCGAAATATACCGCGTGGTTGCCGCGTCATCGAGGAATTGTCAACGATTATGGTAATTAAGTAAACAGTGTTGGATTTCATTCCGCGAATGTCTGCTTTCTTTGATTATACTTTAAGCATTTTTTTGACGAAGAACACCATAACTTAACGTTTTCGAGATCGACATTGATTCAGAGAAAGAAACGGAGAGAGAATCTGAAAGTTTCTTTACCTTCATGGCCATTTTTTTCCTTCGCTCCTGCTGGCTCTTGATCAGCTTCCATTTCTTCCCTCTCGATCTGGCTCCCTTGCTGTTCTAATCTGTAACGAGGGTGAAATTACGACACGATTGGAAGAGGACAAAAACGAAATTTGGGAGGAAGAAAAATTTCTAAAAAAAATGAACCCGACGTGAATCGAACACGCAACCTTCTGATCTGGAGTCAGACGCGCTACCATTGCGCCACGGATCCGATGTTGATATATTTCGTTTATAAATTTAAATATTTTTAAAATATTTTCTTAACATTTCTAGGAGGACATAGAAAAAAAAAAAAAAAAAAACATTTAATATGAGGACAATTAATTGGTAACATTTAAATATTCATACCCGCTACCTCAAGTTTCGATAGAAGCTATCTCGGGCGTGACAACGTCCCCTTCGAATGGTCGTCATGCTCATAATTGGTCGTATTTTTTTGGTATGTGGATGCCCTCTCAATTTTTTTTTTTTTTTCACTATGGTACCGCCAATATTTATAGTAGTAGATGGGGGATGACATGTAAGTTTAGGTTGTGTAGCGGTGTATGTGTTTTTCATCACGAGATCAACTTTATTCCTTCCTACGAGAAAGTGAAGACGAGAAGGGAAGAGTCATGCCCCAACACGTTCGTGGTGTGTCTGAGAAGGATGTAGAGGAAGAATTTTAAGGTATTGTGACGACAAGTATGATTGTTGATGTAACACACGAAGTAAAGTTAAAAGTATTGTGATGACAAGTATGATTGCTGTTGTAGCACTCAAGTAATGTTAAAAGTATTGCGTTAAGGACAAAAATGTCATTTTTCTAATTTGTAGGGAACTTCCCAGATTTTTAATAATTCCTTATCGAGAAGAAATTCTAAGGTGCTCAAGAAGGAAAAAATAAAAATAAAAAAAATGACGGGAAAGAATGTTTAGAAAAAATTAAAAAATTATAATAAAATATTCATAAAATGTCAAATTACCAAAATACCCCTAAACTTCGAGATAATTATGAAAATACCACAGACCATAAAATCATTTCCGCTAGTGAGTAGTAATTAGAAAATTCTTTGAATCTCCATTTTCAACGGTTGAATTTTCACATCACATCCAACTATCAGAAGGGACACTTCACATCGTTTCACCAAATTTGAGTATGTTCTAGAGGAGACACACTTCATCACATCCAACGATCAGAATTCAAGCTCCCTCTACTAAGCTCCCTCTAATATGATATTTCATTTGGATGAAGAATCGAGCTAAGTTGAGATTTCAATCGTGAGTTATAGTCGTTGAGTTAGTTTTTGGGTTTCCTACTCTCAGTTTTCGTCCAAATTCCATAAGTTTTATGAAGGAACCGAGTGCTGAAAGAGGCTGAAACCCATTCCCCCAATCCTGTCCACCATTGAAGAACTTCAAAGAAAACTTGAAAAGCCTACACACAAATTCGTCTGAGTGTGACCAATCCCATGTAGTTTCTGTACCTTCAAGGAGTACTTTCGCAGAAGACCATGAAGGCAAACGAGTCTCGAAGAGTGTCCAATTAAAGAAGGTCAGTTTCGAGTTAAATTTTGGGGTAAGGACTGATTTCTCACCTGCAACCGATTTTTCTTAAAATTGAGCATTCATTTAGCTTAGGAGAATTGAGATAAGTAACTTTGATGAAGAAATCGAGAGCTCATACGTTCTAGAACAAGCTGCACAAGAAAAGGAGATTTAGCATTTTCGGGTGAGTTGCTGACTGTGGATAGTTTCTCAAAACTAAGGCCACACACTGAAAAAAGTTTCATGAAGAAACCAAAGACGTTTCATGAAGAAATCGGACCCTAAAAGCCTCTAGAAACGGCTGCTCTTCAAGACTTCTTCAATTTGTTGGTATAGTCATTGGGAATGGTCTCGTTTAATAGAATGTGAAGCGGTACCATTTTAAAAACGTGTTTAATTAAATATTAAAAATATCAATCTATAATTAAAATAGAGAATTAAATATGAGAAAAAAAATGTAAGAAAATAATTCCATTTAAGAAAAAAATATAGAAATAATGAATTTGTCTACGGATTGAATTTGGCTTAGGTTTTACTTTATTAATAGCCAAAGAAACCTCCATACACACCGATGCTACTCATGCTTGTGTGCTACTTTCAATTGGTGCAATGGTTGGGGTTTGAGCACTGCTTCCGACTGACGCAGTCTCCGGGGTTTGAGCACTGCTTCCGACTGACGCAGCCTCCGGGGTTTGAGCACTGCTTCCGACCGACGCAGCCTCGGGGGTTTGAGCACTGCTTCCGACCGACGCAGCCTCGGGGGTTTGAGCACTGCTTCCGACCGACGCAGCCTCGGGGGTTTGAGCACTGCTTCCGACCGACGCAGCCTCGGGGGTTTGAGCACTGCTTCCGACCGACGCAGCCTCGGGGGTTTGAGCACTGCTTCCGACCGATGCAGCCTCGGGGGTTTGAGCACTGCTTCCGACCGATGCAGCCTCGGGGGTTTGAGCAGTGCTTCCGACCGATGCAGCCTCGGGGGTTTGAGCAGTGCTTCCGACCGATGCAGCCTCCGGGGTTTGAGCACTGCTTCCGACCGATGCAGCCTCCGGGGTTTGAGCACTGCTTCCGACCGATGCAGCCTCGGGGGTTTGAGCACTGCTTCCGACCGATGCAGCCTCGGGGGTTTGAGCACTGCTTCCGACCGATGCAGCCTCGGGGGTTTGAGCATTGCTTCCGACCGATGCAGCCTCCGGGGTTAGAGCCTTCGGAGTTTGAGCAATGCTTCCAAATGGTGCATCCACTTGGACTTCTGTACTACTTCCAATTGGTGCAACTGTTGGGGTTTGTGCTTCATGTGATCTAAGAGCACGAAATGAAAATTGATTATCGAGATTCACATCACCGGTGACATCGCCAAAAGTGGCACCCACTTTCGCACAGCATTGCCAAGCAATCACTAAGAAAAGGGTGTGAAAGAGCTTGAAACCTTTGTCCAGGGCCATTGTCTTCAAGTTCTTCAAGTTGTACGGTTAGGGTTACAAGCTTGTTTCACAAATGATGAAGAATAGCAATGACAAAGCCGTGGGTGTTTGAATTTTTCTAAGATTGTGAAGCCCTATATATAGTTTGATGGGAAAACTATATTGAGAAAAAACCACCAAATTTAGAGAGGCTCTTGTATTTGGTGGTTTCTGAGTATTCCAAATATAGAATGTTTGACTATTTAATTTCCAATGTGTTCTCTATTGCATAGGTAGAAGACAATGACGTGGTTGATTGAGTTGAATCAGCGGCTTTTAATTTTTACTTAAGTTGAGTATCTTTTTGATGGACTCTTATAGATTTATTGATGGTCGTGAAATCATACTTCATTAAAGGGACCTTCATAAGAATATACGAGGAATTTTAAGCATTTTAAGGACTTAAACGAGGCTCCTCAACATGAAAGAAGATGTAAGTAGCCCTACCGGGCTTTCCTCAAGTAATACATGTAGGGAATAACCCTAAAACGTTAAGCTTGACATTGAAACACCCGATCCCCGATGAGAAATTAAAACCTCTATTTTTTTTTAGTCAAACTTCCCACATTTTATTCAGGATCTTAGATGTCGAATTTCAAGAAGAGGTAGAAGAGGAAAATGCTTAAAAAAATATCATTAGCTTAAGAAAATAGTAAAAGTTTTGGAAAATCTGTTACAGTCAACCCGTAATGATACTTTGATACATGTTAATTACGAGAAGCTCTGATACCATGTTAAGAATGATCCTCTGATACCATGTTAAGAATGAGAAACATAAGTGGGACCAAACATCCTAGAAACATAAGTGGGACCAAAAGTCCTAGTGGCTAAAGTCCCTTCTTCATTAATGTTCACAACGTCTTAAATTGATCTAAAATTTTAAGAATGATGCTTTGATACCATGTTAATACTGAGAAGCTCTGGTACCATGTTAAGAATGAGAAACATAAGTGAGATCGGACGTTCGAGATACCATGTTAATACTGAGAAGCTCTGGTACCATGTTAAGAATGAGAAACATAAGTGAGATCGGACGTTCGAGATACCATGTTAATATTGAGAAGCTCTGGTACCATGTTAAGAATGAGAAACATAAGTGAGATCGGACGTTCGAGATACCATGTTAATACTGAGAAGCTCTGGTACCATGTTAAGAATGAGAAACATAAGTGAGATCGGATGTTCGAGATACCATGTTAATACTGAGAAGCTCTGGTACCATGTTAAGAATGAGAAACATAAGTGAGATCAGACGTTCGAGATACCATGTTAATACTGAGAAGCTCTGGTACCATGTTAAGAATGAGAAACATAGGTGAGATCGGACGTTCGAGATACCATGTTAATACTGAGAAGCTCTGATACCATGTTAAGAATGAGAAACATAAGTGAGATCGGACGTTCGAGAAACATAGGTAGAATCAAAAGTCCCAGTGGGATCTAAAGTTCAATTTTCATTAATGTTCACAACGTTTAAATAGAATACGAACTATAAACTAAATCCAAAAAAGAAGAGAAAATATTTTACTAATCCGAGATAAGATAAAATATATCAAATATAAAATTCTTAGTAATTACCTCTATATAAAATATATTCCAAGAAATAAAATAAAAAACCCTAAAAACATGTCCCGTGTTTCTTTGAAGCCCACCTTGTTTGTTAGATAAGGTTTCTATTTGCTTCATTTTGGTGCACACAAATCTTCTTGTATTGAAAGCTTTGAGAATCCAAGAAGGAAACTATGGCGGAATTCCTGTGGACCTTTGCTGTACAGGAAGTGTTGAAGAAGACGGTGAAGCTGGCGGCTAAGCAGGTCGACCCGGCCTGGAGATTCAAGGACGAACTCTCGAAAATGAAGGACTCTTTACTCGTGGCGCAAGCCATCCTAAGGAATGTTGAAAAATGAAGTTAGACCTTGACTCCTTAAAGCTATGGGTGAAGAAGCTTGAAGATATCGTCTTCAAAGCCGATATTTTACTCGATGAGCTCGCTTATGAAGACATTCGATGCAAAGTGGAAATCACGAAAGATCTGATTGTACGTAATTTCTTTTCATTCTCCAAAAATTTCTTTGCTTTTCGTCTCAAAATGGCAAATGAAATCACAACCGTTACTAAAAAGTTGGATGAGTTAGTTTCTACAAAAAGTCCTCGGGATGTGTTGCTACAACATTTAGTGAAGGTGAAACAAATCTTAATCAAGTTTGAGAGACGAACTCCTTTCCTGATGAAATTGAAGTTATTGGGAGGGAAACTGAAGTATGAGATATAGTGGATAAACTCTGGCGAAGGAGGTTTTCCATCATGATATGATAAGGAAGAATTTCGGTACAACTATATGGGTATGTGTGTCTAATCCTTTTAAAATCAACAAAATTTTACGAGCAATGGTGGGATCCTTGAATCCTATATTCGGTGGCTTGGATGAAAGGGAAGTCATACTTCGAGAGCTCAAAAATCTGTTGAGTATCAAAAAGTATTTTTTCGTGCTCGATGATGTTTGTTATGAGGAACCCGTTCTACGGAATGAGTTGAAGGCTTGTTTACTAAAAACCAGTCCAAATATTGGAAGTGCTATAGTTATGACTACTAGGAGTTATAAAGTTGCAGAAATTATGGAGACAAATTATAGACATCATCTGAGGCAGTTATCGGACGATCATGGTTGGTCTTTATTTGAAAAATGTGCATACGGAAGTGATTTACCAATAATTCCTGATGTGATTCGAGAACAACTTGTTAAAAATTTGGTGGTATACCATTGGTTGTGAAAGTGTTGGGAAGAACTGTGAAATCATGTAAGAATAATGTTGAATTGCAATTAACTTTGGAGAATCTAGTGAAAATTGAATTACCAAAAGATCTTATTTTATCCACAATCAAATTAAGTGTGGACCGTCTACCATCTTCCTCGTCGAAACAATGTTTAGCATACTGTTCAAATTTTCCACCCGACTTTATTTTCTATAAGGAAGCACTTGTTCAGATGTTGATAGCACAAGGGTTTATCTAACTACCCAATGGAAGCAATGTAACGATGGAGGATATTGAAGTGATGTATTTCGATATTTTGTTGTCTCGTTCCTTGTTTCAAGATGTTTACAAGTAAAAGAGAGGAAAAATTATATACGGTAAGATGCATGATCATATACACGAGGTCGCATGTGCTATTTCAAATGATCAAAATTTGAGAAGGCACCTTGTAACGAATGGAAAATTAGAAGGTGATGAAGTTCTTTCGATCCGTCAAAGAAGAAGAATAGTTTATTGTTGTGAAAATGCACACTTTAATAATCTGGATATCACCATCAACTTAATCTACTTGCACGTTTTAATAACTGATTATGGGTTCACAACTGAATTGTCAGTAGGTAAATTGAACCATTTGAGGGCGCTTCCCATCTTCCTTGTACTCTTATCTTACCTTCGTGTTGGGCTTATGTGTTAGCATAGAGGAGAAGAAAATCAAAGGTTTTAGCCACCAAAAATGGTGAATATTGTAACTGATATCACTTAGTGTTCGAAACTTATCGTGAATATTGTACCTGATATCACTTAGTGTTCGGAACTTCATGAAACCAATTCCTAAAGATTCCTTAATGAAAGGACTCGAGTTTTAGTATAGTAAAGGTTGCACATGTCTTGTCCCGTCCATAGGTAGAAGATATTGATGTGATCTATTCTAATGAATCGACTACTCTTTGGCTTTCTTGAAACACCTTTAATTTTTACTCAAATTGATCATCTTTTTTATAAGCTCTTACATATTTATCGATGGTTTTGAACTTTAGAAGGACTATTTCATTCTACCCTTAAAAAAAAAATGAAAGCCACCTTACTAAATTAAACCATGGCCAATCCTATCTGATTCCGATGTGAATCAAACAAACAATTTTGCTACCATTACGCTACGAATATTATAGTTCTACCCATATTTATGGTTGACTTGAATTCTTGAATAATCTATATCATTTATGTTTTTATTGTAGTAAGTCAGGTAACACGTGTATAAATTTATAATGATAGGACGAAGTCCCTAAATTAAAATTGAAAATTAAATATGAAAAAAAAAGATAGGAAAATAATTCCATTTAAGAAAAAATATAGAAATAATGAATGTGACTACAAAATAGTTTGGCTTATGTTTTACTTTGTTAATAGCCCAAAAAAAAAAAAAAAAAAATCTCAATGCAAAGCAATGCTACTCTCACGTTTGTGTGCTACTTCCCATTGGTGCAATGTTTGGGGTTTGAGCAATGCTTCCAACCGATGCACTCTTTTGGGTTAGAGCAATGCTTCCAATCGATGCACCCTTCGGGGTTAGAGCAATGCTTCCAACCGATGCACTCTTCTGGGTTAGAGTAATGCTTCCAATCGATGCACCCTTCGAGGTTAGAGCAATGCTTCCAATCGATGCACCCTCTATTGTGCGCCGGAAGCGGAATAAATGTACTCACAACACCAATGAACGAAATTACACAAAAATATTTACGTGGTTCGGAGAGAAGAAGTTCCCCTACATCCACGGATAGCAACCAATCACTAAAACCAAAGCGTTACAAGTGAATACCTCACTATCACCCTAGAAAGACTCTCACCAATATGTCACTCAACTAAACAATGTAACACCCAAAACTCTCCCATCTCCACCCAAAATTCTCTCATCTCCCAATATCACTTGTTAGGAATGGATCTTCAGAATGGAGGGAGAAATCTCTCATTATATAGCATTACATCATCAAATCTTGACTAAAACTAAATCTAATTCAAATAACCAAATCAAATCTAATCCAAATAACCCAATCAAATCAAAACTTATGACAATTTACAACAATCTCCACCTTGTCATAAGACCTCCAAATTAAATAAAAACTTATGACAATTTACAACA